GCAGAAAGCACTAGATGTCTATATTGAAGAGGCCCTAGAACAAGGTTTTATCAGACCATCCACGTCCCCCATAGCATCCAGTTTCTTCTTTGTTAAGAAGAAAGATGGAGGTCTCCGCCCGTGTATAGATTACCGAGCCCTGAATCAGATCTCTAAAGCATATCCCTATCCCTTGCCCTTAGTGCCAGTAGCATTAGAACAACTTCAAGGGGCTAGGTTTTTTACTAAATTGGACCTCCGTAGTGCTTACAATCTAATTAGAGTGAAAGAAGGGGATGAATGGAAGACAGCTTTTTTGACCACTAGGGGGCACTATGAGTACCTGGTGATGCCTTTCGGGCTCTCTATCGCCCCCTCTGTATTCCAAGCCTTCATCAATGACGTGCTTAGGGACATGTTAGGACAATTTGTCATAGCATACCTAGATGATATTTTAGTATACTCACCTTCTCTAGAGTCCCATGTACGCCATGTCCGGACAGTACTGCAACGACTACTCGACAACAATCTATTTCTCAAAGGAGAGAAATGCGAATTTCACCTGCAGTCAGTTTCCTTCCTCGGTTACATCATCAGCTCCCAGGGAGTTACCATGGACGACCACAAGGTCGATGCTGTAGTACAATGGCCAAATCCTTCTTCTATAAAGGAACTACAGAGGTTTTTAGGTTTTGCCAATTTTTACCGCAGGTTCATCAGAAATTTCAGCAGTATAGCAGCCCCTCTAACCTCTCTGTTGAAAGGGAACCCCAAAAAACTTCTGTGGACTGAACAGGCGGATCAGGCTTTCCAACATCTCAAACACGCTTTTACTACTGCTCCCATTTTAAAGCATCCAGATCCTATACAGCCTTTTGTAGTTGAGGTGGATGCCTCAGAGACTGGAGTAGGAGCAGTTCTGTCCCAGAGGACTGGATCACCACAGAAATTATATCCCATAGCATTCTTTTCTCACAAATTATCACCCACGGAGAGAAATTATGGCATCGGAGATCGTGAACTACTCGCAGTTAAGCTAGCCTTAGAAGAATGGCGTCACTGGTTGGAAGGAGCCAACCATCTCTTCACAGTCTTCACAGATCACAAGAATTTAGAATATCTCCGTTCTGCCAAAAGACTCAATGCCCGCCAAGCTAGGTGGTCACTATTTTTCTCTCGTTTTCACTTCCACATAACATACAGACCTGGCTCACGTAACACTAAGGCGGATGCACTCTCTAGAATCCACCAACAAGATGCGCACAATCACATGTTAGAGACACCAGAACGCATCCTCCCACCTGAAGTGATCATCTCGTCTATCAGATGGCAGATAGACGAAGAAATCACAAGAGTACTACACGACATTGATGTGCCCAGTCAATGCCCACAGGGAAAGCTATACGTACCCGAACAGTTCAGAACCCAACTCATAACTTGGGCCCATTCGTCTCTGACTTCAGGTCACCCAGGAGAGACCCGCACTCACCAGCTTCTGGTCCATCGGTATTGGTGGGAGACCATGACCCAGGACATCCACTCTTTTGTATCCTCATGTTCGATCTGTGCACAATGTAAGACACCTAAGACGTTGCCAGCAGGGAAACTAATGCCCTTACCAATACCCAATAGACCATGGTCCCATATCGCAGTAGACTTTGTCACCGATTTACCTGAGTCACAAGGATTCACCACTGTTTTGACTGTGATTGACAGATTCTCTAGGGGAGTACGCTTCATACCTTTTACTAATCTCCCCAGCGCCTTTCAGACTGCTGAGGCCCTGTTCCAGTACGTATTCCGGCTTTTCGGCATACCAGAGGATATAGTGTCTGACCGAGGACCTCAATTCACCTCCCAGGTATGGGCCGCCTTTTTTGAACATCTCGGGGTTTCTGTGAGTCTCTCGTCAGGGTATCACCCACAGTCCAACGGACAGTGCGAAAGGACTAACCAGGAACTGGGAAAATTCTTAAGGCTGTTTTGTTTTAATAATCCAGGTGACTGGGCACAGTATCTGATATGGGCAGAAATAGCGCAGAACTCATTGACAAGTGCCACGACGGGAATGACCCCTTTCCAGTGTGTTTTAGGTTACCAACCTCCGATAGCCCCCTGGACTGGAACTCAGACGGACGTTCCGGCCGTGGATGCCTGGATGATACGCAGTGAGCAAGTGTGGGAAGAGACACATCAGAGGATAGAAACTGCCATCCAGCGTCAAAAGGAACAGGCTGACCGGCACCGAGGTCAAACACCAGTGTTTCAACCAGGGGACCGTGTTTGGCTGGCAACGAGGAACTTTCGTCTTGATGAGGGAAGTTGCAGAAAGCTGCAGCCCAAATATATTGGGCCTTTCAAAGTGTTAAAACGTATCAATAATGTTACTTATAGATTAGATCTTCCCCCACGTTTCAGAGTGTCACGCTCATTTCACGTGTCTCTCTTAAAACCGGTTGTTACAGGGCCCTTGGATGAGGCTACGCCAGACGTCTCGCCCCCGCCACCGGAATTGATAGATGGGGCTCCAGTCTACGCTGTTCGAAGGTTGCTGGACTCCAGAAGACGCGGTGGGCTTATTCAGTACCTCGTAGACTGGGAGGGGTATGGCCCCGAGGAACAGTGTTGGGTGCCTGCAAGGGACATTTTAGACCCTGGTCTCATCGCGGATTTCCACAGCAAGCACCCGAATAAGCCAGCTCCTCGTCCTAGGGGTCGCCCACGTAAGGGGCTTTCTAGTTCCATGCCTGCCCGTTTGCGTCCTCATGTAGAAGGTCCATCGGTCCAGCACCTCGGCAGCTCTGGTTCTGCCCCTGTTCAGCGATCCGGTGGTGTGTGTGGTGAGCGTCCTGGTCGTCCTTGTGCCGAGGCCCACCCGGACGCTTTGGGGGGGGGTACTGTCACGCATTCAGCAAACTTTGACAAGGAGACGGACTCCATTTCCCAGAATCCTCAGGGAAGTCACGTGACCGAGCAACTTCCCTCCGACTCGGATTCAGACATGGACTCCATTGCCCACAATTCAAGGGGAGATCACATGACTCCTGACTCTCGCCCGTACTCCAATCAGCGCTCAAACTCCCCAGAGTACTAACTGAGAACACCTGTGAACTTAATCATATGACTAGTTAGTCTCCTTTATAAGCCCGGGCTTGAGTTAGGTTCATTGCGAAGTATTGTATCGTTACGACCTACTGAGCGCTTGTTTTTCTGACTGCCTGTATTCTGTTTTGCTGACCAACATTTTGTTCTTCTTGACTTTGTCTTTTGCCTGATCCTTTTGTACTGTTGCCTGATTTGGACTGAACCGTGTTTTGAACCTTTCTGCCTGTTTTTGACCCCTGATTTCAGCTCTGCCCTTTTTGCTTTGTTTGCTCGATTATATTAAAACTTGTCGTTTTTACATCCGCGAGCGTCTGTATTCTGTTGCCACATCACACAGTCTACTCTGGTACCTCTTTCGTCTCTTCCGTAGTTGGTACATTATTACGACCTCCTCCACCATCGCCATGTTTGTTGTTGTCAGAAAAGTTTTACTCTGGACTGCTCTCTAGTGGATGTACTGCTTAACATCCATGCCAACGTAAAGGACGCACGGAAGTATGTGGGCAGTGACGGTTACATCATATGAAACGGACTTTTTTATCGTACAGAAAGGGAGCATAAATGAGTCTTAACTATGACTGTGCAGATGGGTATTTGTGTCTTATATACTAGTGGTTCTCAGATCCAGGCCTGGAACTCCAGTGTCCAGCACAGGCAGGTGATTTCCCTGCACAGACATACCTGCTTCACCTCATCAGGTAACTGCAAAGTTTAGTAGGTGTGTCTGAGTAGAGAAATCACCCAACAATGCAACAACACTGGTCCTCCAGGACTGGAGGTGAACATCCCAACTATACCTCAACCAGGGCAAAACTGGCATGGTGGGAGAATGTGGGTATGTTTTTAATTTACATAACAATATACATTCACAGATGTTTGCCACCTTTATGAGGATAAAACTGTTAGCTCTACTAATCCATTTTAGCAGTCTTGAAAGCTTTAAAAATTATAATTAATTATTCAGCAGATTATTTAACCAGTTAATGGTTCACCTTTAGGGGCATTTCAAAATATCTCAAGCTTAATATGTTTCATATGAAGGTTTACGGTAAGTTTTTGTGACAGCAGTCACTGACTGTTCAGGGCACAACCTCAGATTCAAATTACTATTTCCAGTTTGTCATTTATTGTTCAGCTGAGTTGCATTCAGATAGTTCAGATAATTAAATGGAGAATATTCAAATAAACGTGTTTATACGACAAACAGCTGTATATATATGCCACCTCTTCACATTTTTAAGTCTTGACGGCCCATTTTTATTTCACTTCCTAAAAGGATATATAATGGACAAATTCTAAAGTACACATATTCTTTAGACTAATAATTCAAACTTAGAACTTTAGATTATATGTGTACTTGTACTAGTTCCAAAATAAATATTCAGAGAAAGACATGTTTTATTTGAAATGTGTGGTGGGAAAATAGAAAACAAAAGTACAACTAGATCTTATTTTTTTTTACACTGAGCAAATATCAATTCGGGTTTCATTCCATTAGAAGTTACCTTTTAATCATATACTATGGCTATATCCAGTGATCAGATCGGTAAAAATAAAACATAGTTTAATGGTTGAAGAATGAACACTGATCCAAGCACACAGTAATTAAACATGCTGCATCTTCTTATCTGAGCTTTCTCTGCCATTCACACACCTGCAGCATAGGAAACAACGGTGCACAGTGCATACATTAACTGTTTAGGTCAGTAGATTTTATGTTATGTATGAACTTAAACATGTCTTTCAGAAAGGACAGCAACACATTATGAAAGGAAATTAATGATTACTATAAGATCGCAAATAAAGATCCTAAAAAGCGAACACAGAAACATTTAAACAGTTCATTCAAGCAGGGTCCTGTTTGGAAGGTGCAGAACTGTGACCTTCACAGCCAAACAAAAGAAAACACTGGAAATCTATTCTGAACACAATTCTAATCTTGAAGAATTTGGTGTAAATATTTTCCCATATACAATAACTTGAAGTGCCTTTCTAAACCATCTGTAAAAGAAAGCATACACAATAGGATTAAATGCAGAATTTGAATAACCAATCCAACCAAGTGCCTCAAACACCTGCGGTGGACATTTATACCCCATAAACACATCAAAAATACTAAGGGAAAAATATGGTGTCCAAAACAACAGGAAAACTCCCATGACAACAGCTAATGTTTTGGTGGCTTTTCTCTCAGATTTATTGATGGTAGCGTGCCCACTGGATGTGTTTACTTGTGAAAGTGCATTAAGGATTGTACGTGATTGTCTGCGTGCAACAATAAATATTTTCAGATATATGCTAAGCATGATGATTGCAGGGACGGGAAAAGACAGCACTGAAAAGGTCAAACCTGTCACAGGCCCAAGAAACAGCACACATTCCCCCTTACACTGTTCAACATCACTGGGGTAAAGTACTTCATATCCCTGGGTATACCCTTGGAATATCATTAAATACCCCTGAAGAGCAGAAACACACCAACATACAGCAACCATGATGAGGGTAACAAGAGGAGTGATTTTAGTTTGGTACAGCAGGGGAAGACATACTGCATAATATCTGTCAATAGAGATAAATGCAAGATTTAACAGTGAGGTATTGCACAACATAATGTCAAAGCTGCTGTGTATTTTACAGAATGTGGTCCCAAAATACCAGCAAGTCTCCACAGAGCGTATCATGCTAGGAGGCATCACGATCCCTCCTACAAGCAGGTCAGCTACAGCCAGAGAGAGAGTCAGGTAGTTAGTTGGTGTGTGCAGCTGCTTGAAATGAGTTATGGCTATGATCACCAGAAGATTTCCAAATAATGTAAGAAGTACAAGGACACCAATGACAAAATAGGCCACAACTCTTATAGCCAATGGATACACATGCTTCTGACAAGAGTTAGGATGATGTTCATAACAAAGAGACATGTTTTCTATGCTCCCATTTTGGACTGCATAGTATTTTATGTTCATCACAATATGTAGATGCAATCCACTTCAACACACAAAGAGAGAAGATTATCTGGAACAAATAATAAAAAAAAAAACAGTTTTAACACATCTTTGCAATCAAACAACTTTTATGTAAATACTTTTCTATTTGTGATACTGTGAATTCGTGTTATTATCAGTCTAGAGCACAAGAACATCATCCCTTACCTCTGCTTGCATACAAGCTCCAAAGCCACACAGAGAATAGAGGACCTCACATTTATAGTATTTCAGGCTTCAGTATAAGAGACACCCTACTGGTCCCTTGATACTCTTGATGATCAACAAGCTCTGAGGCACATATTTCAAACTGTTTTATTTATTTATTTTTTTTACACACACACACACACGTGTATATATATATATATATATATACATATATATATATATATATATATATATATATATATATATATATATATAAAATGCTGCTTATCTTTACATGCTCACATATATAAAATAATTGTTATACATATATATATATAATCATGCTTAACATTATTGCTTATCTTTTTGATCTTTCATTCACAATATTAACAAAAATATAACCATGAATTGAAGTACAATGATTGAAAAATCTTAGCTGGAGATATTTTTTTTTCAAATATGCGAGTGCCACAATTGTTGGCACCCTTTTATTTAATATTTTGTGCAGCCTCCCTTTGCAAAGACAACAGCTCAGAGTCTGTGATGAGGTGGCTTGCCAGAGGTGGGATTTCAACCCAGGCCGTCTGGGTGGTGTTTCGGAGGCCAACTGGGTGAGCCACCACAGGGTTTTGGAAGGCAGGACCCAAACACTAAGCTTCTGTGGGGCGTGAACCCACACCACCACGTTGATAAACCGGCGCTCTACCACTGCACTATAGAGGCTGCGTCACATAGTGCAGGAAGGGTTCGCCTCAAAAGGGAACGCCCGAAAACAAGTCGATAAACGAACGGCAGAATGAAAACCCACCTACTAAGGCTTAGGCGGGAAAACAAACAAAGGATGCCAGGGGAAAGACTGGCTCTCTCAAACACTTAGGAAATGCTAACTGAAATAAACTACTTTCCCAACAGAAGAGAATGCCCAAAGGAGAACGAAGAGGAGAAAGGGACAAACTTGTTCCTTCTCTTGCTTTAATACTTTTTTTAAGGAAGAAAGACACAACTTGAGAAAGAGGATAAGCTCAAGAAGTGACAGAGAGAAAGAGAGGAATTCTCTAGAGCTTCTACCTGAAATTACCGGCCGGTCTGTTTGCCAGAAATCTGAAACAAAGACTCAGCAAAGTGTGTCTTCTTCCCAGCCCTTATACAGCCCCCTGAGCAGGGGTGGCTCATTTGGTTGGATTGGGTCATTGACTCCCCCGGTGGCCGGCAGTGGCCTAACCCTGGAGTCAACACTTAGAGTCTTCACCTATAATACTTAGTGAGACTGGGGAACACATGGCAAAGGATCTGAGACCATTCCTCCATTCGTAATCTCTCCAGACCCTTCAGATTCCAAGGTCCACTGTCACGCTTCTTGGACTCACACTGCATTACGAACTCCAATTTCCAAGATCTCTCAGTTTGTCGTGTGACTCCACCAACCAATCATTTGTCAATCAGCAGATGCTAGTCACCTGAACACTGATTGTCATCACCTGTTAGCCTGTGTATATATGCCTGCCTGTTTCACTCAAACTTTGCTAAGTATTGCCTCTGTTTTGTTATTGTTAAGTATTAAGTATTAAGTATTAAGTTGTAAGTATTAAGCCGGTCTTGTTTTGCTGGCTATGTGCTGTTTCTCGCTGTTGACTCTTGGATTTTCCCTTTTGACTAAGATTACCTGTGTATTGGTTAGTTAAATTCGCCCTCACTTGTTTATCTGCTTCAGTTTTTGCCTTCTCCCGTGCATCGTGTTTTGCTGTTCTGGTTTTTGACCTGGTCTGGTGTAAACCCTGCTCACCTGGTTAATCCTCCTTTTAATAAACCATACGGTTTATTTTATATCTGCGAGTGTCTGGTTCGTCAACCCAGCTTTACATCCTCACAGGTTTTCTATGGGGTTTAGGTCAGGGAACTGGTATGGCCATGGCAAAACCTTAATTCTGTGTTCAGTGAAACATTTTTGTGTTGATTTTGAGGTGCGCTTTGAATTGTTGTCCTGCTGGAAGATCCAAAAGCTGGCTGGGTGATCCAATCAGCTTTTGATGGATTTTTTCCTGTTGGTACTTGACGGGGTCTGTGATAACATGTATTCAGGGCCTTTGAAAGAAAAACAACCCACAGTATCACAGATTCACCACCATACTTCACAGTAAGGATGAGGAACATTTCTGCATGGTTATGTTTGTATCCACTTCAAACTCATCTCTGGTGTTTGTTGCCAAAAAGCTATTTTGGTCTCATCTGACCACAGAAAACAGTCCCACTGAAAGTTGCAGTAACATCTGGCAAACTGTGGGAACTTGAGTTTGTTGGTCCTTGATAGCAGAGGCTTTCTTCTGGCAACCACCCCAAAAAAACTTGTGGTTCTATAGGTGGTGTTTGAATGTGGTTTAGGAGACAATGTGACCCCAAGACCTAACTAATGTCTGCAATTCCACATCTGTGATCCTCTGAGATTCTTTGTCCACTCCAACCATCCTCCTCAGTGTGTGTGGAGTCAGTATAGACATATGTCCTCTTCCCGGCAGATTTTTAACATCTCCAGCTGTTTTAAATTCCTTAATTATTGCCCTGATAGCGGAAATGGCCATTTTCAACTGTTTACCTATTTTCTTGTAGTCTCTAGGGGAGCCAATAAATGTTTATTTCAGGACAAGATTTAGTTTTTCGTTATACCTTAAATAAAAGTTAGCTTTTTTTCTAATATTTTGAATGAAAGATTAAAACGATAAGTAAGAATATTAGTATTAACAGTGTTATTTTTAATGAAAGTTCTATTTAAAATTATTCGTAGACAGAGCTGTCTATAGAAGCTGCGTTTCACACAGCACGGATCTAGCATTTTCATATAGTGTGAGCAAATAAATCGTAGGTTTTATTCATGCACGATTGTCTATTCAACCATAGTTACACTGTGAGTCACCAAAGAACAATAAATCGCACAGTGTATGGCTTTAGAGGACATCCAACTACAGCTCAACTCCCAGCCAAATACAAGACTTCAAGAAGACATCGACTTCACACGTGAGCTCCCTGGATTAGCCCAGGGTGTGATTCCTGCTGTCACTGTGCCATAGAGACTGTTATTGAAAAAGACAGATGAGGATCAAAACTATGAAACATACTTCACTTACAGCTGTGCAAAAGCATTTCTCTGACACGAAACAAAACCCGCTCTTCTACACTAAAACACTACTCAATCCAAGATAACTAATGTAGCATAGCTAGCTAATGCACATCATTTAAAATCAATTAGGTTTTAATGACTTAACTGCTAAGGTACATTGCACTTATTTACACTAACAGCTACTTCATTCTAAGTAGGTTACCCAGTATGTATTGGACTGTTACCAAACACTTTATAAGCAGACTTTTATTTTAGAAATGTGACTGCAATCTTGACCAAACAAGCATAGAATCACTATAATTGAGCTAATAGATGTTTGACTCTCCAATGTCATACTGAGTTCCCATCCTCTATGCCGCTGTATGCTCAGACCACAGACTGTAGCTGTTCATTGCTGGAGCTGTTCATTGTCTGATTTAAGAGGTCAATCAGAAATTAAGGAGAAACATTTTACTGTGATTGGTTGAGAGAAAAGACATCAAGAGAGGACTCTGCTTGTCCCTGAGGTGAAAGAGTGAAAATCAGGGCAGTAGTGCAGACCTCATCCCCGCCTAAGCGCCGACCCTGCCTCAGGAAATGATTACAAATTTAAACTCATTTAATCTGAGGAAGCTGTTTGAAGACCTGACTGAATGTCTCTTGCTAGTTTTTGGTTCGCTAGCAAAAGCCGTAGTTTGCATCTGTCTGCATCAGTAGGAAAATGGTGTTAATGTACCGGATTATCAATAGATTTGTGTATTTTGTTTTTCCAAATCATAACACAAAGCTTAATTTTCTTAGGTTCATCATTATTCGATACGCAACTTCTACCTCTTAAAGTAAGGAAGCCTTCTGGAATTCAGTTCTAACGAAGCAAAGTTTGGACACTGAACATGTCTTGGCTGATCAACTGCATTCAGGGCAAGTGAAACATTAAGTAATTTAATTTTTTGCCAAGCTTTTCCTTTAATATCTTATCAAATATTTTGTTATATACAATTGATATGAATGACTTCCAGAATTTTTCATAAGGTGTAGAAGACTGATGTAATTTAGACCTAATTACAAATATAATATGATTAGAGATTAAATACTCAACATTAAAAACCTACGTTTTATTACACAATTGTTTACCATACATAGTAAGTCTGTCAGTAGTGCTGTCTTCAGCCTCTACTGGCCAATTATTTGTTACTTACTATTAATCTTGTCCTTGAAAATTATTATATAGTGTAGAGCCCTTGGTTAATTTGAGGAAGGACACAGGAGGCAGGAGTGACAAGTTCCACAGAAAAGTTAGTCAACGCTACACTATAAATCTGTTAATTTAATATCTGACCTATCTACCAATTCTCAGTTTCTCAATAAAACACTCTGCTGAACTAAATGTATCCACAATATATTACATATTCATTCATATCCATATTCATATCAATTCATATACATTACTGATCAACATATTAGACATCCCTGTTAGATTAAAATGTAGCTATGTTTTAAATGTGCAGAACTGATTAAATAATGCACAGCAGTTTCAAGGAAACAGCTTATGAGGTCAACCCAATTCCATGACAATGTTACAGAATCTCAAAACAACTTTATTCTGGATGCATTTTGCTTAAATATTTTTCCCAAAAGAATAATTCTAAATGATTTTCTGAACCACCTATAAAAGAATGCATACACGATGGGATTGCAAGTAGAATTTGAATAGCCAATCCAAGCAAAGAGGTCAAATAAAACCGATGGAACTGTATGTTGAACATAAGGATCAATTAAAGCACAGATAAAGTATGGGGACCAAAACAGAAGGAATACACCTATGACAATGGCTAAAGTTTTGGTTGCCTTTATCTCAGTCTTGCCCACTGCTGTACCTCTCTGAGAAGACTTCATTTGGCCATGCTGAATT